ACTTACTTGCAGGAACAGTTGTGTCGTCAACATCTTCATAAATATCATATGCCATTTGTTTTTGTTTTCCTTTCAACTTTTTGTGTTTGTTGTAAAGTTTAGAATATTTCGACTCTAAGTCAATGAGATGTTCTATAATGAACTGTTGGTCAGTGAAGTAAAACTTTTCCATCTGTTGTCTCGAAAGCTCCTTCAGACTTCAATATTTTATTTGTGAGAGTCTGTTTCTTTTTTTGAGATACTAGCCGTTCCATTTTTATGAAAAGTGACTTTGTAGTTAGGTTTGTATTTCCAGACCTGGCACTTTCTATTATTGAATTTTTCTCTTCATCTGTAAGTTCTTTGACGGGTTTTGACAATGGTTCTGAACTTTTTGTTTGTGGTGTCAAATCTACCGTTTCAAACTTCTTCGGTCATTTCATCTCAGTAAAAAATTTTAGTTTGGTTTGTTTTCAACTGGTTGTTTAGGTTTTTTTAAGTCGGTCTAAAACTTCCTGATATAAGAACTTGACAAACACGTGGTGTAACTGCTGGAAGCCGACAAATCCATCTTGAACTTATTTGTCTCAATGCTGCATTGTTCATTTCATCTCAGTAAAAATTTTACATTCCCCACGTTTGAGGCGGTTGAGGTTGGTTATTGTTTACCCACTGTTTATATCCTCTGTTAAAGAATTTCACCTTGGTCCATATGTGTCCTGCTTGGTTATAGTAGTCATTTGCTTTGTTATAATAGTTTCCTGCTTGTCTTCCTACATTGTCCATCCATCCTTGAACTTTTCCTCTTGTTTCAGGATTGGAAAAAGATTTGTTGCATCTCGTGCTACATCCCAACCTTTCTGTACAGTTTGTATAATAGGTTGTGCTTTCTCTTTAAGTATACCTAATGTACTCAAAATCTTCCTTCCAATTCCAAATGCACCTCTGGCTATTTTCCCACTGCGGTAAAAATCTAGATGCACTCCTGCTAATGCGCCAAATAAACCCATTTCTTATGGGTTAAAAAATGACGAATCCAAACAAGGACCCCTATGTTTCTAAGGCAACAAAAAAAGCACTCATGATAAAAATCTTTAGTTCAACACCAAATGCTTGGTTTATGGATATCTTGGAAAACATTCCGAGAGTTAGAACAGATGGACCTCCATACTGGTTAATATTTTTGGTCAAAACACAAGATACTGTGAAGCCATACCATTATGGTCCAAAAATATTTTAGATGTAAAAACTGCTTTGACAATATTCGTGACAAATACCATCCAACAAAACTGACATCTGACTGTGAAAAGTTCTTTCAAATCAGATGATGTAAAAAACTATCTGCGTTCAAAAAATGTAAACCAATATTTCATTGTCGACCAAAACCATTCTGCTCTTGTGTCATTGACGGATGTATAAAAATGTTAAGAGACTTAAACCAACCACAAGGTGGTGAAGCAAATGAAATGTCATATGACGACAAATATAGACACTTCTCCATGGCAAAGATGAGACAAGTTTTAAATATTTACAATAACCGTGAACAAAAAGGTTTGGAAAACCACTCCCCCGAAGAAATGAAAAACAACCCTGACTTAGAGAAAGACTATATATTTAATAATTTAGTCAAAAGAGACAAACAAGAAAGAATGCCGGGCTTCAAACTTCAGAAAGGTGACAAAGTAAAAATAGAAATACCTAAACGCGACCCATATGAAAATACTATTGACTATGACAACAATGGAAACCCGACAGGTACTCACGTTCGTGTTCGTAAAAATAGAAGAAAGTATACAAGAGAATATTATGAAGTTTTAGGCAAACATGGCAAAATGTACACACTGCAAGCAGAAGATAAAACTACTATTGCCAGACCTCGTTTCAAACTTGTCAAAGTTCAAGGTGGTATACTTTCAAAGACAGTTCCTAACAAATATAAGACAACTCCTGACGAATATGCTAAAGAAGTTGAAAATGACGACTAAGCAATTCTATACCATGCGTAAACTGTCATGTAAGGTGGCATATATTCTTTACTTTGTCCCGTTGTTTGCGTATATCCTGAAACGTGATGTGTATGGTTTCCTCCTCCCTCAGTGTTACTCCAGTAACAATTTATAGCAAACTTAACGTTGTCTTTAACATCATATCCTTTACCTTTTGTCATTGCTGACCAATCCCAATATCTATGCTTATGCCAACCTGCTTGAGATGTGCTTAAATCTATGTAGTGACTATGTGCAGGTAAATTTTCACCTGAAATCGTTTTACTTCCACCTGTTTCCTTTGAAGAGTTTGCACAATACAAAAACCTGTCGACTATTTGAGTCCAAGTTCCAAAACCCAGAACTGTTTCTGGATTTGTTGAGTTCATTGACGTATAAATAGAGCCTATAGGATATAATGTTTGAAGTATTTCTGTCTTTAATGTTTGAAGCTCTGTTTTGTCTGCTTTCTTGTCATATAAATCTTGAGCAGTGAATTTAATATTATGTTCATCCTTCATGACATAAACATCTTTACATCTAATGTTTCTCATCGTCGTTATGTCGTCATCCGATGTTAAACCTTGTGGAAAGTTAGGAGGTTTACAATATAATGCATCCCCACCAGTTCCTTCAACCGTTCCTTCAATACTTTCTATAGCAACAGTTGTGAAGAAATCATGTGTATGGTTCTTGTCTGCTTTCTTTTCAAGGCTAACGTTTAAGTCTGTTATTTCAGATATAGAATGTGTATGTCCAACGGCACTTTTACTGTTTAAGGTTTCTTGTAAGTTTGTTATTTCAGATATAGAATGTGTATGTCCAACGGCACTTTTCCTGTTTAAGGTTTCTTGTAAGTTGTATATTTGCAATGGTATGTGTATGTCCAACGTCACTTTTCCTGTTTAAGGTTTCTTGTAAGTTTGTAATATCAGATATAGAATGTGTATGAGTCTTTTTAGAATATTCGTTTTCAGCTCTTGTCACTTCACTTGACATTTTATTGTCAACATATGTTTGTCTGCTAGTTCAGGATGAGTATGTTCTTTTGTTGCATAAGCATTGTTAGCTCTTTCTTCTTCTTTTGCTATTGCATCGTCTACATATTCTTTGTCAGCTTTGTTGTCAACATCTGCTTTCAAAAGAAGTTCATTTATAGGTTTCTTCGTTTAAAGTTCCTTTTGTTGGATTTATACAGACAGTATGTTCTTATTGTCTTGAAACAGAAACTCATCTGTCATTGGGTTTAATGTCAGTTTTAAGTTTCCTTCTTTCAATGACTCAGATATCTTAGAATAGTTTGAAAAGTTTGTTGTGTTTCTTATTTAGAGCTTGCATAATGAGTTGTCGGTTTGTGTTGTATTTCTCTTATGAAGCAATATCTTTCGACATTTTTATTCTAGATAAAATATGCTTTCAATAGAAAAAGAAAATTCTAGAGTTGCTACAACTAAACCATTAGATGAACTTTTTACTAATGTCGGTCAAAAGTTTGAGACAGATACCGTAAAGCATGAAGGCTATCGTTTTGACTACCCATTAAGATGGTTAAGAGACCCATCCGTCACAAAAGCTATTGGCTTTCGTAGAATGAAGTTCATTTCAGAAGCCATACATGGTTTCCCATTTACGGTCGGTTTTGAAGTTCGATACTATAACAAAGAAAAACGTATGTATGAGAAATTTGAACAGGGAAAACTTTTACAAGTTAGTTTGCTTGTAAACTTAGAAACAACTCTTCAAGCTTTTCAAGAAAAAATAAACGATATCTATATCGAATATGCAAACCAGTATAACATTGACGAAGGAGAATACCATCTCGATATTATTTATGACAGGAAAAATGCAACTGTTAAAATCAATAAAATAGAAGACCTTGGAGAAAACGTTTATATTTCTACAAAATATAACAACTTGGCATGGTATAGATTTATGAGGATGTTAAATCAGCCTGCAGAATATCCAGTACACCCGGACTTTTATGAAGTCGAAAAACCTAATGGAACATATGAAAATATTTTCGACCCAGATGCTATTATTGTTCATGCTTCATTTTCTGGTGCGCAAAACTCTTTCTTATGTCTGATGAATGACTTTTACGAAAAACCTACAAAGTTATACGAACCACCAAGTGGAAGTATTTCAGACTTTCAAGTATGGTTTACTACAGATGGAAGAAAAAGAATAATTCCATTATACCATGCGTTTTACTTAGAACTTAGTTTCATATACAACTACTATCGAACGATAAAAATATAATTTTTAGTTAGTATCCCGTGGGAAAGACTGGAACAGTACTTTTGTTAATAGGAAAGCAAGGAACTGGTAAGAATGTACTTAGTAATGTTCTATGCGAGCTCATTAGCAAGTACGCCAACAATAATATAACGGCAATAGAGAATGTGGTTGGTAGATTCAATGCTGCTATTGAGAACATGAAGCTCATCGTATGCAATGAACTAAGCTCATGCGATACGTCTAAGGTCATGAACCACGACGCACTAAAGTCAATAGTAACAGAGACTCAGTTGGACTTAAATCAGAAGTGTCAGCCAGTAAGAAAGATAGAGAATGTTTGTAATATCATCATGATATCTAACAACTTCAACTCAGTAAAGATTGACAAAGACGACAGAAGATTTGTTGTCATTGACGTAAGCAGCAGATACAAAGGAAATTACGAATATTTCTCAAATCTCATTGAAAGCTTTAATGAAGAGTTTTATTCAAACTTACTGACGTACTTCATGAAGAAAGATTTAAGTGAATTTGATGTAAGGAAGATACCATTCACCAGGGCTAAACAAGAACTCATCGAAATGAACAAAACACCTTACCAAATGTTTTACGAGGTTCTATGAAAAGTTTGTATCCGGATGGAATTGTACAGAGTGCTACAGAAGATATAAAGAATTTGCGAAGGAGAATGAATTCTTTGCATGTAGTTCAAATGTATTTGGTGGCAAGATGAGAGAATTTGTGAAGAGAAGTAGAAAGCGAGACGGTTCTGCAAGAAGTTATATTTACGAAGCAAGTATGATATTAGAAGGTCGTGGAAAGAAAGAAACAGTGAATTATGAGGAAGTGCTTGAAAAATTCATGGAGTACATGGGAAGCAATATAACATACAACAAAGACATATACAGTGAGTTTAAGTACTACTGTGAACAGCATGAGATTGAAGTAATGAGTAAAGGAGACTTTGAAACGCTTATGAAAGACAGTAAGGAGGTCGTTCATGAGAACAGTGTTGAAATAGTTCATGAGAACAGTGAGGAGGTCATACATGAATGCAATGATGAAATAGTTCATGAGAACAGTGAGGAGGTCATACATGAATGCAATGATGAAATAGTTCATGAGAACAGTGAGGAGGTCATACATGAATGCAATGATGAAATAGTTCACGATGTCGTTTGTGAAGAAGCCATTGCAACAAAGAATGAGATAAAGGATTTCATAGAACTTAACAAGGAGGAGTTTAAAGAAGGCTATGAAATGAAAAGATGTGAAGAAGATTTCTTGGCGTATTTGAAGAAAAAGAGACTAAAGCCAATGGCTCAAAATAAGTTTCAATCGATGTTTGAAAAGAAACGTTTGAGCTATGGTGGTGTAAGAAGCACATATTACTTTGTTAAGAAGTGAGGACATTTATTTTTGTCGTTAGTGTTGGAGTTTGTGGTTGTTGTTAGTGTTTGTCATTTGTGTTGAGGTTAGTACTTGTCGTTAGTGTTGGAGTTTGTGGTTGTTGTTAGTGTTTGTCATTTGTGTGGGTTAGTACTGTCGTTAGTGTTGGAGTTGGGTGTTGTTATGTGTATGTCATTTGTGTTGAGGTTAGTACTTGTCGTTAGTGTTGGAGTTTGTGGTTGTTGTTAGTGAGAGATAATAATTAAATCATAAACTTTGCCATGGTCTCTGTCCCTAGTAGTTTTCATTATCTCACAGAGTTAATGAAAGTCATACTTTCTATCAGATGAAGCATGCAGATGAACATAATGAAAGTTAGTGAGTTTGCCACGAGTTATGAATAAAATATTGGCATATTAGATGAGATAGCTGATGAAACAGATGAAGATAAATTAAATCTTGGACTTTGCCACACTCTGTCCCTAGTTCCTCAAAATCCTTGACAACGTTGCTTAGAAATTTTGGTTCAAAACCTCATCTGATTTTAATCTGTTATGCTACCTGTTAAGTTTCGCGAGATTATAAATGTCATGGAGTTATATAAAAAGGAAGGACAGCTAGGGACACTGAAGAATATGAACTATTGTGTGAAGCACAGCAATGGGAAGCGCTGCAATACTTTTGTAAATGAGAACCTTAGTGGGAACGTTAGTGGGAACGTTAGTGAGAACGTTAGTGAGAACGTTTATTTTTTTCATGCACGTGCATTGTGTCGCGGGGAGTTGCCATGGGCAATGACCTGCGCACAATATATAACGTACAGAGAGGTGAGATGAGGTGGTTTATGTGATAAATACTTTACGTGGCAGAAATAGTTTAAGGTTATTAGAAATATTGCATCTGTGATGTAAAATATACGTTAGTGGTTTTGTAAAGTGTCAGATTGACATATCTTCGGTAAGATGGCGCGCAGTGCCACCGTACTGAAGATATGTATACTAACTAATATATTGAAAATAACGACAAACACAATATTGAATATTTTCGCTTGTGTCAGGAGAAATAAAGAAATACAAAAAAGGAAAAACAATAGTATGTTCTGTTTTTCCTGTGAGTGCATATAATGGAATGTTAGCCCTTAGAAGTTTATACGTTGAATCGATGTGAAACGTAGAAATTTGGTGACCAAGGGCCTTCGCTTCGAAAGGTGCATATAAAAAAACTAGTTTTCCCGGCTCAGAGATAAATTCAATTAAATCTTCTGGACAACTTTCTTGAACAGATTCGGCAAAGATAGCTAAAGAAACTTTTTCATCCGAACTAAAGCGTTTGGAAACAATTTCAGCTCTTTGAGCAAATTTACGTAATGCATCTGGACCTTGTGCAAATATTGAAAGTAACTCTTCGTCTGTATATGAAATATTTAAGTCTTGGAAACACTTAAGTTGAGCTGTAGCATGATTCATATTGTTTTCAAAGTAATGTTTAAGATAATTTCTGACAAATAATGAGGATATTGTTTTTGTTGATTTCGGAGGTGCAGAATGATCATGAGAGTCAGAGTGGATTAGTAGTTCATATTTATCTTGATTTATTATCCGGACTTTGAATTTAGCTTGACATTGTGGATACTTACATTTGTATTCGATCGTGAAGTATTCTTTCCTGCATTTTTGAGAGTAGCCCATGCTAGCTTTTATCTCTTCTTGGATACCAAACTGGAGGAGCTCCATAGTGTTGAATATCACGGGCTCCATACAACAAATTGAATAAGGTATTTCAAAATTTGAAGGAAATGGTCCATCATTGAATGTAGTGGCCGGGAATTGAATGACATACAGATAGTTGGGAAATTTGTTTAAATTATAATATAATTGAAGAATTAATTATCAAAACAAGTCTAAGAGCCATTTGTCGGATTTTCCCGAAATGCAAGGTTAAGATTTTAGCAGCGACTAACTTTGAGTGTACATATATAATTGTTATACTGAGTACTTTCTATCTGTGTTACTTATTTGAGTCTAAGAGCCATTTGTCGGATTTTCCCGAAATGCAAGGTTAAGATTTTAGCAGCGACTAACTTTGAGTGTACATATATAATTGTTATACTGAGTACTTTCTATCTGTGTTACTTATTTGAGTCTAAGAGTCATTTCTACCATAGAACTAGATATTGTCTCTCATTAAATATATATAACTGTAAACTGCTTAATTCATTTATCTATTTAGATAAAATTATATTTAGATAAGATTTCATGTTATTATTTCATCTTTATTATTTTTTTTATTCCTTTGAAAAGTGACACTGGATAGTTTGTCCCT